AAGGGCATCAGATTATTAAGAAACTAATAAACAAGTGCCTTATCAGTAAAAAATATTCAAAGAAACCTGCCAACCAGACCACTTCGCAAGTGCCAGAAGATAGAATCAATGAGACTCCGCTATTCTGCATTTGTGACATCGATTTAGCTGGTTTGATTTACATTAAAAATGTTGAAGGAAGTCAAAAATTTACACATCAATTTTTACTTGCACTACTACTCGGGGCATTATACGGAGCTCGTGCCAAATTTCTCTATGGATTCCTCCTTAACGACAATCAAAAGATTAATTTTTTAGAAGAGGCAATAGCCAAATGATTTATTCAGACAATGCAAAGAAGGGAAAAAGGAACTCAAAAGTTTCTCTAAAATTCTGTCAAAAGACAAATTTGTAACCCATGAAAGAACTGATTGAAATTTACGATAGAATGTGGAAGGCTTCTATGAGAGATCACTAAAATGATTGAAAGAATGGTTAAGCAAAATTCTCAATAAAGCTTTAAGAACAACTTAATTGTCAACAGTTTTAGCACAAGTAGAAGCCGTTTTGAATTATCATCTGTTAACCTACATATATGAGAGTTGGAACTTTAATAGTGGTAACACAGCTGAAAAAACGCTATGCAACAAAACCAAAGAATATCGCGTTTACCACATGTAAACTACATACCTACCTTACCTCTCAGCAAAAAGACTTGTCCTGCCTACAGCACGCGCATGCGGAGTGACGCGAAGAACGGATCCTTGTATTAGCTCGCGGTCTAAAGTAAGTGTTGTCAGGATGTTTTCAAAACAGGAACAACGATGTTGGATAAAAATTGAATGTGCCAGAGGTTGTACAGCACGACAGTGTCATCAAGGGCTTCAAGAGGCTTGCGGGGAATCTGCATTGCCTTTCAGAACCGTAGCAAGATGGGTGAAAGCATTCAATGAAAGACGCCAAAACATGGCCGACATGCTGCGGCCAGGTCGTCCGAGTGTCAGCGATGCAGACGTGCAAGCTGTTGCCGCACTAATGGACTGTGATCGCCACCAAACGATTCGTCACCTGGCCGGACAAACAGGATTAGTGCATACGACTGTGCAGCACATTCTGAAGGAATGCCTGTCCATGAGAAAAACTACTTCATGATGGGTTCCACATCAATTGACGGAAATGCAGAAATGGCTACGATACGATGCTGCCCGAAGCCACCTGGAGCGCTATGAGCGCAAAGGAGATGCTTTTTTATGCCGTACCATTACGTTGGATGAGACTTGGGCTCAATCATACCAGCCAGAACTGAAACGCCAATCAAACGAATGGCATCATCACGGGTCACCACGACGTTTGAAATTTCATCAGAACACCAGCAATGTGAAAGTTATGGTGATTCTCGTGTACAACTGTGATGGTGTCATCCTAACACATACCGTTTTCCCACAGCAGACCGTCACTGCGCAGTATTACTGCTCATTTTTCGAGCACAATCTCTGACCAGCTTGAGAAAATAACGGCAACGCTTTCTGCAGAATGCTCCTCTCATTTTGCATGACAATGCTCGGCCGCATGCAGCGCAAGCTGTGACCGATTTGTTCAAGCGATGGGGCTGGGAAGTGCTTTACCATCCACCATACTCCCCAGATCTAAGCCCTTGTGACTATGACTTAATTCCTAAGATGAAGGAACCACTTCGTGACACTCGCTTCCAAACTGTTCCTGAGATTCTTGCGGCAGTAGACCGGTCCATTCAAACTATCAACAAAACAGGCGCTGCTACAGGTATTCTGCAACTTCCACATTGTTGGAAACGGGTTGTACACAATGCTGGCGACTATATTGAAGGACTGTAAAACATGGTGATATGAATCACTTTTGTATTCCTTGTAAAATAAATAGTTGCCACTATTAAAGTTCCAACCCTCGTACAATAATCAAAAACAGCCTTTACCGCTGAAACCAGCCAGTTTCTTGAACTTCAGATGAAAAGAAACTGCACTACCTATCAATTTTCACTCCAATATTAAAGATGGTTCAATCACATTCTCTCTCTGACCAAAAGGAAGATATATCAGTATTTAGTGGTCAAACTATTGTGGACTAGTCGGAAAAAACCATATTCAATGGATCTTCACTCAGCTCATCAATTATTCAAACTCTTATGATGAATATTATATCCATGAATAACAGTCTAATTATTATATCCATGAATAACATTTGATTTAATATGTTTGTTTCATGCAACAGTTTACAATTCTTTTATTATTCGTATTTCACATAATTATGAATAGTATAGATTTCCTCGATTAGAAAGAAAGTAAATATATCTGATACTAACATTTGTCTTTAAAGAACTTAGAGCAATTTTGATTAATGTTTTGAGCATTCCAGATTTAGCCCTGAAAATTCAAAGTTGCTCAAAATGTCATGAATGAATGGTATTTTCTTGATTATAATTTTAAAAAAAAATGACTCCATACCTTCATTCTTTTTCTTCCAATATACATCCAAATCAAAATTAGATACATTAAAAGCTAGCAGAAATTTTTATGTGCAATGAATAAGAAAGCCAGGCTTGCATATGGAATTTTCTCTCCATAATGCTAAGGGGGTTAATTTCAATTCATTCAATGTTGCTTTCCTAATTACATGCTAGAATTCACTGATAAATATTCATTTGCTGATTTGATTGTAGCGTTTGATTTGATTTATATTCACTGGTTGATTTGATTGTAGTAGTCATTAATTGAACAATTTGAATATATATTTGTTATTACTTGACTGAAATCAATTTGATGATTTTATTGGTTTAATATTTGATATAAATTTAAAAAAACCTTTAGATTGATTCCAATTCTTGGCAGAGTTCAGATGGTGTGTGTGTGAAAATTGTTTTGATTATTGACAGATGGCGCTAGCATCACATATTAAACATGATCTGCCTTTTCACTAACCCAAACACTCACTGCATTTCTTTTACAGTTAGATGTATTTTAGACTCCAACTGAATAGGAACAATAAAGTTCCTCTAAATTACTTTTATACATTTATTGTTACAGTTTTTAAATTCTATTTGATTATTTCTAAAGCTGAACTGCCGATGAATATAATTAAGGATTTAGTAAATATTATGTATGTATTAACTTATTTAGCCATCTTTCTTTTAACCGTTTCATTTGATATCAGTTTTCATAATTTGAATTTGAACAGTATATAACATATTTGAACAGTATATAACAATTTGAACGTTTATAACATATGCATCATAATTATGTTATAAACGGTTTCTGTAACTTGAATTATACACTGGTTATCATAAATTAAGCAAAAATCACAAAAATAATGATAACTCCCTCAAAAATAAGCCAAACCATGTAAAATTTGAATATGATGCCAAGTAAAAGTAGCTAAGTAAAACTGCAATATGCAAATTAGTGGAGCTACTTTCGGAATACGTCATCTGCGAGGAGCATAAAAGTCCATGTTTGAGAGTAAGCCCACATATTTCACTGTGACAGTGACATCAGAAATCTAAGATAGCCAATTCGTAACAATGACCTCCGGGTATCATTCGTCAGCAGAACTGAGATGGAGAGCCATTGGGAGACTAGAGGAAGATAATCATCTACGATGTCCAGGTTAGAGGAAGGACAAAGTCAAACAGAAGTGGCCAGATGGCTAAATGTGAGTCCTTCTGCGGTTCATAGACTTTGCAGGCAATTTCAAACCACAGATTCGGCATCTAGGAGGTTCAGCCAAAGACGGGGAACTGCTACGACGAGCGCCAATGACCGATATTTGACATTATGTGCACGCAGAAACAGAACCACTACTCTGACTCTTGTTAGATCCTCCCTTGCTGCAGCCACCGGAAGGTTCGTGTCAACGTCAACTATGCATAGAAGGCTTCACGAAGGCGGTCTGTATGTGAGGCGACCAGCCATTTGTGTGCCGCTCATGTCACGCCATAGGAGGGACCATTTTCAGTGGGCACGACAACATGTCCACTGGACGCCTGATCAATGGAGGGCGGTTCATCTTATGGATGAGTCCAGGTTTAGTCTAGAAAGCAATAATAGGCGTATTTGGTATAGAGAGAACCTAGAACCCGTTATCATCTGTGAAAGAGATGCATACGGAAGGGGCAGTGTCTGTGTTTAGGGTGGCATCTCTTTGGGTGGACGCACAGACCTCCATGTCTTTCCAACGGAAACCGTGAATGCTCCGGTTTACAGAGATGACATCCTTGATGTTTATGTGTGCCCATGTGCGGGTCAATAGGTGATGCTTTCCTGTTACAGGACGATAACACAAGACCACACAGGGCTCGCATCGTAGATGATTATCTTCAACAGGAAACAATTATGCACATGGAGTGGCCAGCTCGATCCCCGGACTTGAATCCTATCGAGAAGGTTTAGGATGCTTTAGAGAGATGTCTAGCTGCTCTTAATCCGCCCCCTCAGACCCTTGCTGTCCTTGCAACTGCTTTGCAAGAACAATGGCTCTCGCTTCCTATCGAACTGATAGACCGCATACTTGAAAGCATCACGCATCGCTGTATGTATTGTATTGCTTCTAGAGGCGACCATATTCCATATTGAAGGTACTTTTCCTATAGCAAACTGACACCTTTGATATGTTCATTTTATACATGTGCTAATTTCTATACTACCATATTTGTCTGGTAATTTCTATTTATGTTATTTGATACCTTACTATGTGTTGTATATTGTTGGTAAGTTTCATTAAATTCTATATGTAACTTTTTCAGTAATCGTGATTTTTCCTTAATTTATGATAACCAATGTACATTATAAAATGATTACAAGTCAGTTTTTTTAAAAATAGCATTGCTGATAGCATTAAAACTTGCTGGAGAACCTTTCAACTTCACATGTTAAAAAGTTGGCAGCTATGCAAATTATATTCTGGTAACATTATTAAAGTCTGGAATAAAAATTATGTTAAAGTATTTATAATTCACACTAAGCACAAAATTAAGAAAATTCCATTAGTACCATTTTCCTTCTGGAAAACAGTTGGCAAAGAAGGCACTTTTTCAAAGTTAACTCTCTTATATTCTTCATCAGTATCCACAACAGTTTCAGGCTTTCCTTTCTTTCCTGGTACACTAACTGGTACAACTTCACATTTAAACAACCCAGACTAAAATAAAACATAACATTATTTAACTATTGAATATATTTAGAAACACTGATACCTATTTAGAAGACGTGAAGTTATATTCAGAAAATTTCATTAATTCAGTTGCATTAATGAACTATGATAAGTTTCCTTTGTAAGGATCTTAAGTTTTACTAACATTTATTTTATTTTTAATCTTTACTATCACTTCTTATTTTCTACTTCCGGCCAGAATTATAAGCGTTAATGTATTTATGCAAAGTTTGTCTGGCGAACGCCAAGTATTTAAGTTGTGGCTTTTTGCCAAGCGAGAGAGAGGAAGCAGTGAGTCGAAGCAGGCCGCTTACCTTAGAAGTTTTACTCAGTTGCTGGTTGCCTTCCAGGCCAGAGGTTTTAATCCTCTTGATAAATTTTAAACGTATTGTAGTGTTCACAGTTCTCTGTACTACATATGGCTTCCTGTTAATATAAGGCCAATCTTCCACGTTTATTATTTTAAAGTTAAATTAGAGTTTAGTTCTATTTTATATTTTTTACGTTAGACCCCAAGTAGCGGGTCTGTGTATTCCGAAGTACCGAAGTTATTGTAATAGAGAAAAATAAAGGGTTTTTGTATACCCTTCTTGTGTATCCTGTCTACTTCCCACAGTTTTTGAACATAGCTTTAGTAGCTCTCTGTTCCGAGTCAGGTCCTTGCATGTTCCCGAAGAAGGTAAGACGGAACATTGATCCTGATACCTTGAGTAAATTTGTCTCAATAATTGCAATTGCATTCATAATTAAAATTTTTCAGAATTTTTTTAATATACAAATGAATAACTTAATCCAAAAATTAAAATTTTTATATCATTAGTCCTGCTTACATTCATACTGAAAATAGCTGAACAGTACACTAATTCAAGGGTTCCCAAGCTTATGCTCACGGGTGCCATGGCATCTGTGTGATAACAATAAAAATGTTTTAGTTTTCAATAAAATTCTGTCTGAAAGTTTTCTCAATTTTAATGACATAGAAATTGAATCCAACACAGATACCAGCACAAAGAAAAATGTGATTGATCTCTTTTTATGTGCATGTAATATTAACTCTATCCAACTATAAATTCACCTTGAAAATGTACATGGTGCCTGCCATTCAACAAATATTCTAGAATGTGCTCTTAAGGACAAACGGTTGACCACTGCTCTAATTTGTAATCCATACCTGTCCCCAATATTTATAGTAAAGCAAATAAATATAAGGTAAACAAAAAAAATTCTAGCCATTTCTGATATGACATTGGAAGAGTGAACCCCCAACATGACAATAGTCGCCAAACCTGGCAATGAAGTGGTTAGGATGGGAGTCGGGACATTGAACAACAGTATAAAAGCATGCTACATCGGTACTTCAAACATAACTCAACAGCAACTGATTGAAATGGATGCGTCAAAGGAGATTCTTTTCAATAACTCACTGCGTGAAGCAAAGGCACTCCATTTCGATCGGAGTTGTTTGCTGTATGATTTTAAAGTGGGCCTGTCAGCAGCAGAATCAAGTCGCTAATTTGCCAGGCCTTTGGGGATGATGCCATTAAAGAATGAACCGCTAGGCAATGGTTCCAGAAATTCAGGTCAGGGGATATGTCTCTCAGTGATGCACCACGCAACGATCAGCCACAAGCACTAGACGATGAAGCCCTGAGAGCAGCTATAGAAAGTGACAGTAGTCCAACATGTGGTGAGCTTGCTGCCCACTTACAGGTATCTGATGAATTGATCAGACTTCATTTGCACTGCATAGAAAAGGAATACAAGCTGAACAAGTGGGTACCCCACTCACTGTCTGATGCAAACAAGCAACAGTATGTCGCTGCCTGTTTGTCATTCCTTTGCCACCGTGGGATGCTATACATCACACTGCGAGATCTTCTTTCCACCCACGCAGGATCATGCTCTGTATCTGGTGGACTAGTCACCAAGTGGTGCACTATGAGCTCCTGCCAGTGGCTAAACCATCACAGTAGGCCCACACTCACAGCAGTTAGAACATGTGCATCAGCCACTATTGCATAAAGAGCCAGCATTGGTCAATTGTAAGGGTGTAATAATAATATTTACGAAAATTTTGTGAGACCCCATTAGCACTGCGCAAATCCGACATACCCATGTGTGAAACTGTCAATTTTTTCACTTGTAGTTAATATTCTATTCATTTAGTCATTCATTAATTTATGATGTTAAGACATAAACAATGTAAAATTTTAAATAAGTAAATACGAAGTGACAGTGTCATGTGCAAAGCAAAGTGAGATGAACGTTTCTATTATACAAACAATACATCGAAATGTATCCCCCTTTTTTCTATCTGTATTGTCTTATCTTTATCTATTTTCAGATACATTGTGTAAAAATATTTAGTAATTGTAAAATTATTATTTTAAGTTAAAGAAATATCAAAACTACTAAATTTTTGGTGACCTCCTGCTGCAGGTCCCACGACCCCCTTTGGAGTTGCGACCCACAGTTTAAGAAATGCTGCTCTAGGGATAACTAGATAAAATAATGTTGATACAATGTAGTGCTATACTTACTTGGTGTTTCTTTGTTAGCAATGCTAATTTTAAGTTGCATTTAACTGAATGAATAGTTGTTAATTTTTAATATTATCACATTCAATCATCTGCAGAACTTATGGTTCATTTGAGTGACTTAAAAGGGATACATAACTTTTGGTTTTGCTGCTGTTATTTACACTGCTGGCCATTAAAACTACAACACCATGAAGGAAAGCAAATATAAAAAATATATTTACTGTATGTAAACAGTGTGACATGTAGATAAAATGATAAAATTTTTAAGCAGTTTGGGGGTTTACAAGGGTGCGAAATTAGTATGAGTGCAAAATAGTGGCCACCTTTGGCATCTAAAACAGTTATAGATACTAGGCATGGAGTCGAACTGGGCTTGGATGACAGAAATGGGCAACTCATTTCATGCTGCTTCAAGTCTATGCCACACTTCATCAACGGTATTAGCTGGAGAAGGGTGGCAGGCCAGTCTCTCAGCAACCCATGACCAGATGTTTCAACATGTGAAAGATCTGGAGACCGTACAGGTCAGCGCAGGAAGGTCAGAACATGATGTGCAACATGTGATCTTGCATTGTCTTATTGGAAGATGATGTTTGTCAGGCCTCGAAGATAGGGGCACAATCACCGGACGTAAGATGTCAGAAATATACCGATCTGCGTTCAAATTACCATCGATCCGAACTAGAGATGTGGTTGTCATCCACCCAATGGCTGTCCAAATCATTACACCAGGTGCAGGGCTCCTATGCCACTATCGAATGCAAGCAGGTGACGTGTGGTCTCCTTGGAGCCTGCAGAAATGTATGCAGCCATCCGAGTACTGCATGAAGAGCCATGACTCATGTGAAAAGATGATGTTGTGCCATTCTGTGTCCAGCTTTGTCGTTCATGGCACCAGAGTCGTCGTCTCTCTCTATGCTGCATTGTCAAGGGAAGCCGAAGTAATGGTCGTTATGCTGATAGTCCACACGGCTACAAACATCGACGCACCGCACGAGCAGATACTAGGCTTGCTGCATACATGTCCATTTCCTGACTAAAGGTCTGTGATGTGGTTTTATGATTTTGCATGGCTGACCACACAATATGTCTGTTCTCTCAGGCATTAGTCATAGGGTGTTGAGATCCTGCATGCTGTTCAATTGGATGTTGATTAGTGCGACGGGCGATATCACGGAACAATAATCTAGACTCTCAATAGGCAATGATCTTGCCTCTACTGCATTCTGACACTTGCTGGTAAGCATTTCTTCTTATTATTCGAGACAACTCTTCTTTTATGCAGATCTTTAGATGTCGTTTCACCCTCCTGCAACTTCTAAATGCACTGAAATACTAATCATTTGCATATCCTCACCTCTTCTTTCTTTCATGTTATTTTGATGTTCATCAGATCATTCCTTCCTGGTATTGCAATTTCAGTAGCCAGCAGTGTACATTACTCAATCTAACTTTCACTTGAAAAATGTCAAGTGAACAAATTTTTACAATAAATTCATATTTTTCCAAGGTATGTTTGTTTAAAAAATAAGGAAAAAAATTAGAGTCCATATGAGTATGTTGCGAATATTAATAAAACAGTTTTGCAATATTATTACAAATAAAACACTACTTGAAACAGAAAGTGTTGTTTCAATCATATTTGTTTATTTTGTTCTACATTATTTGCAGTAATGACGAATTTTACACTGCATGATCTAAATGGGTTTATTTTAATTATTCCTTGTTAGAGAATTTATTGTGATTAAATGAATTTATTGTGAAAAATGATTAATTTTCATATATGTTTCATTTAATTAATGTTGTTTTATTTTTATGCCTTCTAGTAATGGGGTGAAGGGAAATACTGCAGAATGGTATGATTCTGCACTCTTTCTTTTCACCTGTTTCATTCATTTATAATAAATTTGTAAAATAACCTCTTAAATTTGCAATCTCAAAAGCTTACATTAGGAATACAAAAAATTAATTTCATTTTTATTAAATGGTTGTTTAGTATTAATATCTCATGAAAAATATATTTCAATTAAACAATCTACTACTTTTTCAAACTGGATTTATTACTTATAAAAATAAAAGAAAACACAGGCCTAAGAATTTTTCAATTTACAACGTTATAAAATATCTCATTCTTGAGATTTATATACATTTTAAATATTTTAAAGTGCACATTTTAAGTGGAATAAGGAACAAACAGAGTTATATTTTTTCCCGTTGCTGCTGCATTTTTTTATCAAAATATTTTGTATTTTCAAATATAAAAATAATTTTTATTTAATTTAGGCGTTAGTTTCATTACTCCTCTGAATCAACTGATCTTAAATCAGATACAGCATAACACAATTAACTTCTCTAAAATAATATTTTTTAAAAACTGAAATGGCAGCAAAAAAATAGTTGAACTGTACCAGACAGAAAATTCTTTTTCTTATGAAACCAATTTTTCAGTCCATTGAAATCACAATATAAATTTTAATTTTATTTAAAAAATCAAAACATTTCCAGTTGCCCCGCGAAAAACAGTAAGAAAAGTCGTTAATCGGCACCATAATCCGGACATAAAGCGAAAACTTTCTGCCATGCCCGCGTTGACACATGCCATAGGCGTTTACGTGTGCGCGTTAAGTATTTTTTTTGTAATTGATACCCTTTAGAATCTAGATGTTCTTTATTTCTAAAAACGGTTTCATATTTTTAATTTAGAATTGTGCTGCCATCTTACAGATTTAAACGCTGATCTAGAATCCGAAAAATCATATCCGAATCGCCGAAGTCCCGACGAGTCCGCATTAACGACTTTTGACTGTACTTCACAGTAGAGTACTAAACTTGAAATCTGATGCAGTATAACATCTCAACTTTTTTAAACAGGCATTCTTCTCTAAATAGGTATTCTTTTATATGAATTAACATTGTTTTATATAACAACTATAATTCACTACACACAACTACTTGATATGCACACCATTAAATATCAGCTATGTAAATAAACTCTGCAGATCTATTTAAAAGACAATTAAAAATTCTTGAAAATGTGTAACTTACTTCTGCTGCATGAGCAGTTTTCTTGTAGCTGTTGATTGCAAAATCATCTTGATCTTTTCTAGAAATTCCAATTTTTTTTGCTGTATTTTCACCACACACACCCTGAAAATTTTATAAAGATAATTTCAGAGAATAATATCTTAAAAATCTAAATTAAAAAAATACAGAAATCACAACAGCAGCATTAAATAAATAAATAAAATCAATACTTATCAACTTCATAAAATTAAAAATAAGATTTGTGGGGGAAGGAAAAATGAGAAAAAAGCATGCAGTGAATTTTACAGAAAGCACTCCAACATATCTGAATTTTTACAATACAATTAAAGACTTTAAAAAAGGCCATATAGAAACAGAAAATTAAGTAAATGAAATTTATTATATGTTTACAGGTAATAGAATGTTAACTCACTCACTGGGATGGAGTTTCGCTAAGAAAGGCTAAATTTCTCAAAACTGCTATGCAAAAGAGGGTTTTAAAGCCAAAACGCAAAATTAACATTAGAGCAATTAAACATAAATGCAAAATTATCATTAAAACATTTTAATGCCAAAATGCCCCTAACACTTTTTACCAGGATTTACGTTCTTTTAATACATTGCTTTAATTTGT